CTAACAATGAAATAACAAAGAACCAGACAGTGTCAGACTTCATAACTAGAATAACCATGAATCCACTATGTAAACAGAAACAAATGACACAATAATAACATGCAGAAGTGAATGATGCTTAGAAGGAGGTTGCATCGTAGGACTGAAGACTATAGAAGACCAATCTTCTATAACTTTGTAAGGGGGTGACATTTTACTTCTGAAAAAAATAGAGTTTGCTAAACAATAAGATGAATTGCACACACATATTTTGGCTGCATCACACCATATTCTGTGCTGAGTCTCATTCCTACGTCTGAAAGCTAAGAAAATGTTATTCCATGGGAAATATTTAATCCTTTGCATGGCCCACCCTCAGCATACACGGGGAAGAGACACGCACTTCGCATTTTTCCACGCACACGGCCCATAAACTGCGCTCTTAGGCTTGTGCTGTATCTAAGCAATAGAACACAAGATGGAGTGTGTTATCGCGAAATAACATCATCACAGCCGTGATGTTATTGGTGATAACATACGACCTTGAGTGTTCTATTGCTTTTATACAACAGTTAAATAAATAAAGTAATAAATTAATAAACTGGGCCGTGAACGCGGCGTTTAATATGTTTTAATGTTCGCAGTTCCTTCACCAAATTATAGCTCCTTAACGAGCAGCTTGTTGCTACGTCAGAGTAACGAGCTCCGCCCACTCGCTGCACAGCCGTTCGTTCTCCAGCTCCTTACACTAAATTCCCTAACTGTCATCACCACTGAGCAGCTTTTTTGATTTTTATTGCAGCAGTTTTTTGGCTCAGTCCAATTTGGTCAGACCCTGAAGATCAGACTACACGTTCGGCGAATGGTATTGGGTTCATTTCTGGCTGATTCCAGGTTGTTTAGCTGTTCTTCTGTCACAGCTGCCGACTGAAAAGCTGCTCAGTGGTGATGACAGTTTGGGAATTTAGTGTCGTCTCATCTTCAGAGTCTGACCAAATCCGCTGTCGGTCAAATATGATCTTAAAAGTATTCATTTTCTGTTTGTGCTAAGTAAGAAGTAAAAGCATTCAAATCAGCTTGCGTGGCTGGAACTAACTGTTGTATAATTTCATACAGAACACGTGGACGGAAGTCACCTGATTTGCACCTGAACCTGGCACAAAAACTAAAACATCAGATGATTTTGCTGTTTGTAATATGGGTTTAAGGCATGACTCAGTGAATGCAGTGGTTAAAAACACTCTTGCTCACCTGTTTGCCTTCAGAATGGTCTTGTGTGTCTCCACTGGGGTCCTAAAAACAGATATTCAGTACAGTAATAGATTCTATTGCTTTTATTTACAAGAGCAGCTCTGTGGTCAGAAACTTCATTGATGAGGACAATAAACAAAACAAACTGTGCATCAGCAGATGGACAACAGTGTCTAATTGTACACCAGCAAGGTGGAGTATGGTTCATAAAGCTGCACTATGTAAGATGTGAGGATTTGAAGACCTCTCTGGTGGAAATATGTACTGCACACAACCTGGTAAAGAACATTTTGTAACGTGGGTTGTGCTTCGGTCCCCTTGCTGATGGGATGAATCCGATGATGAAAGAGAGATTCAAAGAGAACTCAGTCTAACTTGGTAAAGGAGCATCTTCTGAGGATGTGACTGAATTATCTACTATTGTCATCAGATCTTCATCAGTGTAATGTTGATTTTGTAGCATGTGAGGTCTAAACATTGAGCCGGATCTTTTTGAGTCTGTGACGCTAATATGTAAAGACGTCTGACGTGGTGTGAAAAATTCCCCAACTGACACCTCTGACTTTTAAATGATTATTTTAGGCCTTACAGGGTGACTTGCAGCAGCACATAAACACTGTATTTCAGCCTGTTTTTATCATCCTCACTCAGTAATGATACTTCTTTCAGTTTTGACAAGAACATCCGACAAAAACTTACATAGTGCCCCTTTTGAATTACATCTCTTTCATCTCAGATTTGGAGTGTAATTTCTCCTGAGGAAGTGACTGGAATGAAAGTTAAAGGTAGGTGGTGTTATGGTTGTTCATTATAGATCTGCACCTTTAACATGCTGGCTCCTCCCCAGAATGGTTGTTGTGGACCATTCAAGTGACATTTATTATTCAAAAACTACTGTTAAGTTGACATAAACTAAGTATATTTGGTAAATGTGTCTTACCTGAAGGCTGAGATGGTGTGGGCACAGATTCAATCATTGAGTAGTTAAAATTTGGGATGCTGTCCTAAAGAATGGGAAACATAAAAAAATACTGTAATCTTGGTAAAATTTCAGTTCTGTTCATTTTTTGTTTGTTATTCTACTCATGCAGAGTGAACCAACAGTCAGGAACAATCAAAATATCTGTAAAATGTGTCTTACCTTGAACTCATAAAATTGACATAAATGTACCATAAACATGTCACAGCAGGTGTCATACGCTGTCATTAGTTGTTGTGACAGATGTTATTCAGTTACATAACAGTGTCATGTCACCATTACCGGCAATTGCCATGACAGATTCCATAATATTTCTGTTCAAACTGTTTTTGTGACATGATAATTTTGGCTGTGTACTCTATTAGGGATGCACTCAAACTGGAAATGTGAGTCAATATCCAATTTTTTTAGTGTATATACCTACCGATGCATAAACTCTTAAAAAATATAAAATTTGAGACTAAACCTACTTGCATTAGCTTTTTAGAAAAACAGACAGGAATAGCCTCCACCTAAACAATATTAACATTTCACAATATTATGGAAAAAACAAAATAACATATAAAACATAATAATGACATGAAATGAGCATCAAATAACCCAAATATCGGCATAACGCACAAAACAAAAACATGTGATTGTATAAGCACATGGCTCATGGACGTCCGCATGTACACACATGAAATCAGATACATATGAAATATTGCTTTACCACATCAGCCAAATCATTTTTCAAATCATCAAAAATTTTATACAGACTTTTTTTAAGGAAACTGCCGATAACGATATAATTTCGATATTATTGTACTCCATACTCCATACTGTAGTTAGCTATCACGACATAAAGAATTATAACATCTGTTATGACAATTACTGGTGACCCTGCTGTATTACTGGATATAATCTATAATGACAGCTCATAACAGCGTATCTGCCGTGACATGTTTATGATGCAGTTATGTCAATGTTATGTAGCAGAGTTCATGTAAAGTGTCACGAAAAGATGTATAATGTTACATTGATCTCATGTATTGCACCAAGGACTGTATCTATTACACGTTATTCATTGTTCTTATATATAATGATGGTGATGAGATATAATGCTAATGAGGTCAATCTAACAGTAAATGACTCACAGATACTTGAGTGGTACACAAAGCTTTTCTCACTAATCCCACTGGGCAACATCAATGATACTGAAATAAGAAGTGAATTAAGCAGGAAATGTAAGAAAACCAGCACTTACGTCTTCCACACTGACCATGGTGATCATGTCTCCTGAAAAAAAACACCATCAGACCTCGACCATTTTTGATTTTTGTTTTAGTAATTTGCTGAATTCATTTGGACAGAAGTGTGTATGTGGTAAACATACCTTGATTGCCACCCTTTGAGTTGACCTTAAATGATCTGTTAAATATACAGATTAAAAAATTTTAAGAAATTCCAATTAACATTATTAAGATATGGTCCAAAGTTTTATTACACACTTCTATAACCTAGGAATAACTCCATTAGCTTGCATGTAATAAGCCTGTAATGTTAAGGGGTTAATCAGGAAACTGATACAAAGACATGCACATATTGCTATAGATTCAATTTATGCTTTAACATTTTTAGCTGTCATGCTTTATTTGCATGGTCCCCAGTGGAAGCTCAAAGCTCTCTGGTGAAACTCATGACTTTCAATAAAATTAGGTTTAGGGTCAGGTTTAGTATTATTTTAGAACTGGGTTTAGATTTTAGGAATGAGAAATTTACAGTTAGAGAAAGTTTGGGTGAGCTTAATTAACATATCCTTTGTTCTGTTGTATCGGCTAGTTTAATTAAACATCGTTCGGACATTTCTCACCTCTCTGTCCTCTGCTTTCCTGAAGAAGAAGAAAGAACAAGTAAATCAAATGTATTGAAAATATTAAATTACAGTGATATTAATTCAGTTTCCACAACGCTGAGCTGGTTTGTTCTTGTTCTTGTCTGTATGAGTGAAATCAGCTGATGGACTCACTGATAAATCTGCACAGACAGACGATCATCACTCCAGCCAGTAAGACGCTGACAGAGGTGGTCGACAGTAGTAGGACGAGAAAAGTTCCTGAAAAATAACAAGACTAATTTTGATTACATTTTTTGTAATTGACGAGTCAATTAAGGCCTAATGAGTTAATTAAGTACTGAGACTTAAAGGGTGTTCAAACTTGTGAACATGACATTACAATTACTGTTTTGTTTTGTTTTTTTTCTATGCATTAACATTAGCAAAAAATATACATTTAAATAGTTTGCTATGAAGTTTGTAGGGTTTTTCTTGGCAAAAATATTGACACATATTGTATGGAACATATTTGTTGTTTGATATATTTGATATTTTTTATGATTGTTGATTATAAAGAAGGTCGGTTCTACTGCACATAAGCAGAAAGACTCCCTAGTCTGAAGCCCTAATGGAGAGAGACCATGACTGATCTCTGGTTTAAAGATACGCTAGACTAACATCTCTTCAGCAGGGTTAAAATGTGATATGATCGGACAAACTGGAATTTGAAGCAAAATCTATAAACGAGAAATGAATAATACATATAATGTTGTTTGTTTAGCAGGCAGATACAATCACTCACTCACTTCTGGACAATTTTTGAATGTAATCATCTTGTTTGGAATGCGTTGTTAGAGCTATAAAGGAAAAAGCAATATGTTATTATGTACCAAAAACTCTATTAACTTCGGAACTAATATACTGTCATTTCTACCAATTATGACTGAACAGTTGTTTATCATGTGACCATATTATTCACTTCAGCAACACAGAACAATGCAGAAACTCACCGTCTGTTGTGGTTTCAGCGGGGAGTGTGGCCACAGTATATGAAACTTCTGAGAACAGAGACAGAGAACACGTAGTGGTTAGACAGCATGAAGAACAAAGTCATGTAAGCATATTCTGATATGTTGCAGGTGCTGTATGGTAAACGCCTTTACAGCTTTGCAGACACTAAGCGTTAGATGTTTTAAGAAACATTACGTACATGACATGACATTACTGTACTGTGACTTGATGCTCTGTAATGCACTTCTTTACTTCACAATATTATTGTATGATTTTCAGATGACTAACCAAAACCACTATGCAAATCATCCATAATACCAATAATAAGAGTAGAACATAATAATACTACTATCAATTTGTGCTCAAGGCAATCCAGTACTTATTTTACATGCACATTGGTATAAACAAATGCTGCAGTTATTCCATGTTCCATTTAAAGACATTACACTGTGTTTTATACTATTGAATCCACCCACAAAATAAACAATACAAAACTCAGCTAGTGCAGAGGCATCTCATACATGGCAATTACAGTGTTTAAATATGTTATTTTAGGGAAATAATCATGCTACACAATCACATCGTTCTACTGCCATGATAAAAACTGAGATGCACTTGTAATTTTAACACTATAAAGTTTCATCTCTAGGAGGAGCAGTGCACTCACTGCTCAGTCTCAGACTCTGCATACAAGCACAGCCATTGGCTCATGAGCTGTTGAATGCTGTGATTTTATTGGCTCCCTAATCATCTGCATGAATTAGGGCGTGCTTTATGTAAATGATATGTAAATGGGGTACTGGTGGGCTGGCGCTTGATTTCACGCACTGCTGATTCATCATTTGTGCTCAAATCTCCGCTGGTTTCCGCGTCGTATGAAAGTTTAATAAATCGGATGCAGAGCAGTTCGTATTTCGTTATGTAAGAAAACTTGTATCGGCTACTACATTTCACTCAATAATCATCTCACAATAGCAACACCTGAAATCACTCACAAACTTTTAGTTCTAAGTTTTAGTCTAAACTAGCAAATTAGGACCAACAGATGAAGCTGCTACAAAAATGTAAGGCTCAGTTTAGAATATATAATAATTGATTTTTATACTGCTACAGGTTTTTAGGCCTCTAATCTTGATTAGGACAGTGTATGGTTAAGTACAATCTTGCAATAATGTAAAGTAAAATGAAACAAAAAGCTTAAAAATATAGATAACTACTATAAAAGTGAAATGATACATCCAGGGTAGGATAAAGACAGACTAACCTGTGGTGGATTCTGGTTTTATCAGTTGTGTTGGTAAAGTTGGAGTTGGTAAAGGAGGCAGTTCTGGTGAAAAAGAAATAAACACACACAAACAAAATGAACTGAATGGTTCAGCTTAGAATAACAGACTTAATGCATAAAAAGAAATGTGTCCAGTTAACAACATAGTTCAGCAAAGCATCCATGAAAATGTAAAAGTAAATGGTAGCACTTTATTTTAAAGTGTACATAGAGTTCATAACACAAGACAACTTATGAATAACAAATTTAAAAAGCAATACTTCGGTATTTTTGAACACTTTATGTCAGTTTTCGCAGAATGACATGATGTTTTTTAAAGTAAATGACACTAGATTGACATAACAGGACTTTGAACTAAGGTGATGGACGTTTGTTCCACTTTTAACTATATTATAAAGCATCATTCCCAATTAATTATATTATTATATTATTATATTAATATATAATATTGTATTATAAGGCAAAGGCCCAAAAAAGAACACCATATAAAGCACCAGTTCCCTGTACTGTTTTAGTTTGAGGGCGTCTTTCATATAACTGATATACGGTATTCTTAAATAGGCCTCTAAGATTCATTACTTGGAAACAAAGCCTAATGTCACTGTTATAAAAGAAACAACTGTCTATCAGAACCTTGTGTAATTCGAATATAAGCCGTTTATAAATGGTCAAGTATTGCTTCATAAACTACCTAAGTACTATGTGTTATGAAGTCTCTATGTACATATCCTTCAAATAAAGTGTTACCAGTAAATGTAACAGTGATATTCAGTATAAGACACTCACGTGTGAGGCTGTATGAGTCACTGAGTGGAGAGTGGACGGTTTGGTCAGAGTTCAGTGAATAATCACAGCTCACTTCTCTGCTCTTCGCTGATTTCATACGACTGAACAGAAAATCCTTATGAGCTGTAAATCTACAAGCCAGTGATCCAGATCTCGTCCTGTGAGACATCGTCCACTTTAACTTCTCATCCCCAATGTAGAAATCACACCCAACATCAGCGCTGAGTGACAGTGATATTTCACACACAAGAGTGAACTCATGACGTTGATCATCATGACTGACTGTCACTGTTGGTTTCTTATCTGCAGAGAGGTCAGTGGAACAGTGAAGCTCATTCATATGACTGTATTTATGATTCCCAGCAGTGATATTACAGTCATATAAACAGTGACCTACCCAGTATTCTCACTGGAGCTGGGAGAGAGTGAGGAGACAGAAGCTGTCTATCTGATATTTTCACAGAGTAGTAGCAAATAACGTTGACGGGTTGGAGTGAACTGTAACTGTGTCCAGCCCATGTGGTCAGTTCAGCTCCAGTGAGTGAGAGCTGACAGGATGGAAACTTTAAATCTCTCTGATGTCCTTCTGGATAGAAATAACACAGAGAGACTCCAACATATGTAGGTGTGCAGCTCAGCTGTACAGAGCTTCTCCCTGAAGTGAACACTGAGAGCTGAGGAGCATCTGCAACATAGAGACAGATCCACCATCAGACAACCTACTGGACAGATCACTGGATATAAGACTAAAGCGTTCATATTCTATATTCTCATGCGTTTTCTCTGAAATTCATTTCTGTGTTTTTTGTGCTAAAAACTGTAATGACTCATTTTCACATGATCATTTTCCCAACCTCATTTCCAACAGTACATTTTAACAATAATGTTCACATAGTAGAACTTTTTTCCAGGCACGTTTTCAAAGACCAACATATGAATCACTCCAAAATCAGTGTTTGATACAAAAAAATCATCAAACAGCATCTTAGAATAGAGGAACCCAGAGGAGCACTTGACTCATCCATGACTGTAAATAAGAGATTATTTCTAGTAGAGATTGATCAGTAACTTACCCAGGACCAGGATTGTGACTGGAGCTGGTAGAGAGTGAGGAGATTCATCTTGAGTTCTGAATTCATCCACAATGTAGTAGCAGGTAATGTTGACTGATTTAGGTGACCTGTAACTGCGTCCTGTCCACTTGGTCATTTCAGAGCCAGTGAGTGAGAGCTGACAGGATGATGAGTGTTTTAGATTTGTCTCATCTCTCTCTGGATAGAAATAACACTGAGACACTCCAGCATACAGAGTCTTACAGTCCAGCTGTACTGACCCTCTCTGTGTGAGAACTGCAGGAGACACTGAGAGCTCAGGCTGAGGAACATCTGCAACACACAGACCCTCCATCATTCACTCAAATGATTTCTGAATACAGTGTCACAAATCATTACTTTCTACTGTAGTTTTGCCACACACTCTCAGAAATGAAGGTACTAAACTGTTACCCTCTTGTCACTGGTGTGGTTCCCTCAAGCGTACATCTCAGTACCTTCAGTCAGGGAACATAACTGAACCATAATCCACTGAAATGATATGTTCTAAGCTGTACTGACTCCACACACCCCGTCTCGTCTCCAGGCTTTTATTTTACTGTTCTGTTTTAAAACATTTGGTTATGAAAAGATACAAATACAAACTTTTCACCTGGGAAAACTTATTTAAGGTTCATAATTAGACCTTAAAACCACTGTTGTACCTTTGAGGGAACATTTACATTGTTTGTACCTTGATAAATGAAAAATGTACCTGAACAGAACCTTTATTACTAGCAGTGCACCACTAAATACACACGCAGTCTTTCAAAATAAAAAATTACGGTTCAAAAATTCACAATATGCATCATATGTAAAGGTTCCTAAATACCATCACATTATAAAACATACATAATTCATCCGTTCCAGTGATACTGGTTACAGTGTTCACTACATTAAAGTCCTCAGTTTGAAGTTATTTGTTCCCCAACAAACATAAACACAGTGAATCAAAACCTCTTAGTGCTAAAATGAAACTCACTTTGTAGCTGAACTTGCAGAATCAGATGGAACGAGATGAGGATGAACAGAGCCATTTCACCACCACCAGATGCAAAGAGAGCATCGAGACGCTTACTTTAAACACAGAGTCAGAAAGGAGGTCACTAAATAACAGGAAAACCACACCTGTCTACTTCTGGCTTTCAGTAGCAAATGAAACCCACTTCTGTCCACTTCTGGTCTTTCAGCAGAACAATTTCTGCTTTTATTTCTTTCTATATGGGTCACTTACAAAGATGTCTATCATGGCAAAAACCAGAACTGAACAATAAGACTTTTCATTTGAATGTAGCCTTGATTTGGGGAACATCCATTTTATTATATCAGTATCACCACAACTCTGAAAAGGTATAATATCAGAGCTCGTGTTGTCCACTAGGTGGATTCAAAGCCTTAGAAATCTATATGAAAATGCACTGTACTGTACAGCAGCAGTTCTCCTGTCCTGCTCCTTCCCTGTTCTGGTTCTGTACACTCTTTAAAAAGATGGTTCTTCAAGTGTTCTTTAGTAAAGACAATGGATCTGTATAGAACCATGAACACTCAGCGAACCATTTGCATGATTAAACTTTCTATGAATACCGTGTCTATAAGAACCTATAAACTTATTTGTGACGCATTATAATGGCTTCATAAGGCATCATAAACATGGTAGTTATAAAAATGCTTTACACCTGATTGCCACGCTTATTATGCATCATGAATAACAACATGCCCTATGATGGACCGGCGACCTGTCCAGGGTGTTTCCTGCCTTTCGCCCACTGAGCGCTGGGATAGACTCTTGACCCCCCACCACCCACCCACGTTTTTTTGTGGATCTGGGTTCTTTTTAACAAAGCATATTCGGCTTAGACAGGCTTTATGAGTTTTAGCTTCACAAAATTAAACAAAAACAGACTCAGTTAACTTTACAGTAGCAGTTAATGACTTTGTGAATAATCCTCACGAACAGAAAGAGCATGAAACAACAGAGCTGAAATGCTGGTTGCCAAAGAAGGAGGAAGAAATCATGCAAACCTAAATATGTAGAAAGTAAAGCATGCATAATAATAAAAATCAACACGGTCGCCACAGCTTCTGGGGTTAGAGCCAACTTAGCCAGCTGGACAAGCAAAGAAACTAACTGGATCCAGAATAATGAAAAGGTAAATCTGGAATTTAAACTATATCCAGTCATCAACAATATGCAAATTATTCAGTTGTATATGTATTTAATTCAGACAGCTTGTGGTAGACATTTTTATTATATGGCCTTTAATTTTACAGGACATCAGCTTGTAAGAGGGGAGCCCCAAAATCCTGCTTAGCCCCCAAAATGCAATAACTTTTTAGCAGATAAAAATAAATTAAGACTTTGTACAGAAATAAATTATAACTGAGGATATTATATATATATATATATATATATATATATATTGCTGAAATGAGATGACAGATAGCTATAAATAGAAAGAACATGATCCCTTAAACTGCACATTTTTCAAACATCACAGCTGGAACTGAGTTTGTCTTCTGATAATCACTCCAGAAATGATGACTCCAAAAACGAAGCCAAGCAGACCAAACACCCACCAGAAACTTGGTTTAAATGCAGAAAATTCAGGTCCTTAAAAGAGGAAAAATGAGTTAGTTCATATAACAGATTGTATATTATTTTTGTCTTTATGTTTTTTTTTTTAACAGAACAAGAAAATTTTGAGGAACCTGAATAGAAACTAGGATATACAGGACAGTTCAAAATCAGAAACCACCCTTCAGTTATTTAATTTACAAAAACAGCCATAAAGTACAAGTTATTCATTTTTCAGCACCTCCAAAGTTCAGTCTTAGAAGCTGGTTGATCATTTTCTAAAGTAATCAAACACATTCAGTGGTGTTGAGGTCTGGACTCTGGGGTGGTCAGTCCATCGTTCAGCTTCTTTGTTTGATGTGTCCGTCTCCTTTTCTCAGTGAGGTTCTTCTTGACAGCTACACATCCTTTCAGACCCATAGAGCTGAGTCGTCTTCTCACAGTGGAAGGATGGACAGAAACACCTGTGGATGTCTACCAGGTCGTCCACAGATGTTAGCACAGTCGTGTTCAACTCTATTTTTTTTTTTATTTTATTTTATTTTTTTTTTTGACGTTCTCCTTTCTTATGCAGGTGCAACTTATATCTAATCTAAAATGAATACTAATGGCTTTTTTGGCTGGACGTTAAACAAATGAAGGGTGGTCTCTGACTCTCACACAGTGCTATTTATCATGACATACTCACTCCATGTGGACATCTTGGGCTCTGCCATGCTGCTGTGCTTCACCTCACATGTATATTCCTCACCAGGGCGAGGAGTGATGGCCATGTACTTATAGACTCTGTATGTCCAGTCATCACCATACATCAGGTCAGATGTTATACCTTTGTCGACAGATGGATGACCATTGAGGAAAAAGTTGATTTCTATGTCTCCAGGGTAGAACCCAGTGGCATAGCAATAAAGAACATTAGCTTGACCTTCTGCCACAGGGAACTGGGCATACACATTGACCGAAGGCCGAACTGTGGACCAGAAAAAACATTTTAATTTGAAAGTTGGCATTTCTAAATACAACCCCATTTCCATAAAAGTAGGGACACTGTGCAGAAAGTAAATAAAAATAGAATGCATTGATGAGCAAATCATGTAAACTATTTTTTCAAAGGAAAATACTACAAAGACAACATATCAAATGTTGAAACTGAAAAATATATGCCCATTTTGTATTTGATGCCAACAACACATTTCAAAAAAGTTGGGACGGGGGCATGTTTACTACTGCGTTTCATGACCTCTTCTTTGAACAACACTTTGGGCATTTGGGAACTGAGGAGAGACACTGCTGTAGTTTTAAAAGTGAAATTTTTTCCATTCTTGTTTGATACCAGATTTCAGCTGCTCAATAGTTTGCCGTATTTGCCTTCATAAATGTTCATGTCACCCATGCCATGTGCACCAACTCTCCTCTATACCATCATCAATACTGGCTTTTGAACTGTGCACTAGCTGGGAGGACACAGTGTCCATGATTTCAAAAAAACTTTCAAATTTTGATTCATCGGACCACAAAACATTTTTCCACTTCCCCTCAGTCCATTTTAAATGAGCTCAGGCCCAGAGAAAGTGGCAGCGTTTCTGTATCCTATTCCTGTACAGTTTCTTCTTTGCATTTTAGAGTTTAACTTGCATTTGTGGATGCAGTGATGAACTGTTTTCACAGACAGTGGTTTTCAGAAGTGTTTCTGAGCCCATGCAGTGATTTCCACTCCAGAATCATGTCTGTTTTTAATGCAGTGCTGTCTGAGGGTCCAAAGATCACGGCCAGCAAATGCTGGTTTTTGGTCTTGTCCCTTACATACAGAGATTTCTCCAGATTCTTTTAATGTCATTATGTACCGTAGATGATAAAAGCAAAAGTTCTTTGCTATTTTATGTTGAGAAACGTTATTCTTGAATTGTTGCACTATTTGATCGTGCAGTCTTTCACAGAGTGGTGAACCGCTCCTCATCTTTACTTCTGAAAGACTCCGCCTTTCTGAGATGCTCTTTTATACCCACTCATGTTACTGACCTGTTTTCAACCACCAGGTATTTTTTTAGCATTATACAATTTTACCAGCCTTTTGTTGCCCCCATCCCAACTTTTTTGGAACATGTTTTTGGCATCAAATTCAAAATGGGCAAATATTTTTCAAAAAACATTTGAAATGTCTTTTTGAAATTTAAACACTTGTTGTCTTTGTACTATTTTTAATGAAATACAGGGTTTAAATGATTTGCACATCATTGCATTTTGTTTTTATTTACATTTTGCCCAGTGTCCCATCTTTTTTGGAAATAGAGTTGTATTTAAATGTACAGTTACACAGTAAAAATGGCTTGTCAGATCAACCTAAAAAAATACTTGTGGTAACAAGTCAATTAACCAGTTTTATTCAACCTAAATAAATACTTTGGCTGTTTGTTTTTTTTTCAATGAATGTAATTTTTTAAATTGAATAAAACTAGTTCGACTGCTTGTTACCACATGAAGTAATTTTTTAGGTTGATCTGACGAGCCACTTTTTACAGTGTGTATTTAATTCTAATATTTTGAACAATTTCAGACAAATAATGCTCTCATTTTTTTAAGTACAAGTAAATTAACACATCATTTACAGGGAACAAACATAAATATTAGCGCAAAATGTCTATTTATTGCTGTTTAATATAAAATGTGTCATAACGTTTGCACAGTTTACACTTTGTTTTTTTCCCAATATATTAAATTCAGCAAATAAACAGTAATTGTGTATTAAAATGTGCAGAAGTGTGTTCTCTGTAGGAGATGCGTTCACTTACTTTTACTCAGAAAATCAATCAAACATGTCATTTGCAGAGGGACACACAAACTGTTGCAGATAAGTGTATATAACAACTGCCCCATTGGCTTTAGCTACTTTCCATAAGTAAAATCTTGGTGTAAAATTTTCACCATGCATTTGAATTGCTTAAAACTGTGAAACAGGCAGGCACCAAACTCAGAGGTGCTTGAGTTCCTAGGTCCACTTTTACAATAACAGCCAAGATCACTGACATTCTATTTACTTTCCAAAACCACCAGTGAACCTACACGTGTCCTCTGAGTTTATATGTAATGTTGATGATGGTAAAATAGTGGAAAATCTGAAAAGCTTTTGGTAACACTTTCTATGAATGTCACGTTTGTAAGCATCTATAAACACATTCATAACATGTTCCCTTCCACCATTACAGGACTGTTGAAAAGGCTAAAATTTTCTTAAATCTATCATAAAATAATGTTGTAGGCATCAGGCAGTGAATTCATAACCATTTCATGTAGTAACTTTCTGTGGAAGAGCTTTCAGAGGTGGACGTCTGGTTCCTATCACCACCACTGTGAGCACTTCTGACTCGGTAAGTGACTCTGTTTACATCTATAGTTATATAATTATGCAGACGTTTTGAAGAATTGGTGGAAATCCCCTTTAAACCAACACTTCCCCACAAGCTTTGATGTCATATGATGCCTTACGTCCTGTGGTATCTGTGGTAGCACAACTTCCTCTAATACCCTAACTAGCTACTCCTTTTTTAGTCTAAAGAAATGTAAAGTATTTAGTAAGTTTATGTGTGATATCTACACACTGATATCCCCACTGAGCTCAGGGGTAGATCTCAGCTTGCTAAATCAGCAAAGTAAGCATGTGATTACCCAAAGGAGGCCTGACAGCCCCTGTTTGCTCTCTGAGCTTGGAGAGATATTCTTCCTGGCGATGAAAACCATGTAGAACTTCGTACATGCAGAAGGTCTGATCGCTGTCGTCCAGCACGGAGAAGCCTGTGGTCGCACTGGGGCGCAAGACAAATGTCTTTTTTGCCTTGTCAAAGTACGCAAATGTGGCATCGTTCACAAGAACCACCACTGCCTGGTCTACAGAGCCGTTACCCTTCATCCGAGTGTAGGCCTGGATATTCACCGTCTGGTAATCTGGAGAAAGACAGTGATTCAGAAGGTTATAAGTTCTAAAATAAGGAAAAGAGAAGCAGGTTCATACAGAGAGTGCTCACCTCAGAACCTTTAGCATGAACACGGTGTTAGAATTCACAAACAGGACAGAAGGCAAAGCTCTAAAACTGATCTTACCAATATGGTCCAAATTGAGGAAAAGAAGGGTTCTTCTATTATTACAGTGTCAAGCTTGCAAAAATATAAGGTCCATGTTTGGTGCTATATCAAAAAGGTTCTATGTAGAACCATATATAACACATTCTCTGTCACCATTTTACCATGAAAGTGAACCATTTAAGCACCATTTAATTCTGCATCCCATTTATGTACAGTTTCTTCTTTGCGTTTTAGAGTTTTAACTTGCATTTGTGGATGCAGTGATGAACTGTTTTTACAGACAGTGGTTTTCAGAAGTGTTTCTGAGCCCATGCAGTGATTTCCACTCCAGAATCATATCTGTTTTTAATGCAGTGCTGCCTGAGGGTCCAAAGATCACAGCCAGCAAATACTGGTTTTTGGCCTGAATCTTTTAATGATATTATGTACCGTAGATGATGAAAAGCAAAAGTTCTTTGCTATTTTATGTTGAGAAACGTTATTCTTGAATTATTGCACTATTTGATTGTGCGGTCTTTCACAGAGTGGTGAACCCCTCCTCATCTTTACTTCTGAAAGACTCAGCCTCTCTGGGATGCTCTTTTTATACACAATCATGTTACTGACCTGTTGCCAACTAACCACCAGGTGTTTTTTTAGCATTACACAACTTTACCAGCCTTTTGTTGCCCCCGTCCCAACTTTTTTGGAACGTGTTGTTGGCATCAAATTCAAAATGGGCAAATATTTTTCAAAAAAACAATAAAAATTTTTTTTTAAATTTCAACATTTGTTTTCTTTGTACTATTTTTAGTGAAATATGGGGTTTAAATGATTTGCACATCTTTGCTAAAGAACTCTTGCTATCTTTTTTAAGAGGGTATTTAAACCCAAGGCATTAATAGAGATAGTAACAAGCTGAACATATACAAAATCATCATTTATAGGGTACTATCTGTTGGGAGGTGTTCGTCCCAAACCATAACCCCTAAATTTACACTTGTGAAAATAACACATTTTTTGTATTATTTTTCAAATACATGAAAAATATCATTGGTATTTCAAAGTGAAGTTGAGCTATTTAGATTTATCATGATTTTTAAATAAAAACTTTGTCACTACCAAAAACAATTTTCTGCAGTTAAGTAAACTTTTTTGTGTTAAGTAAACTTTTTACGTGTGTAGCTGATCAGAGCTGTGTTTGCTAGTCATGTACTGGTTGTGTTTTTGAGTTCTGCTCAAATTAGCTAAAATTGTCACCACTGAAAAAAGTCACTACTGAAACATTTGGTAGTTTCAGTCGTGTTATAATTGTTTTGGTAGTGACAAAATAGGTGTTTAAACATTTGTGTCAATAAAGTCCAACTAAATTAAAAGTCCTAAAACTCTGACTTTGATCCAAATCAGTAGAATGATTCATATAGTACCAGTCAAAAGTTGGGACACACCTTCTCATTCAGTGTTTTTTCTTTATTTATTTATTTTTTTATTTTCTACATTGTAGATTAATATAGAAAATAATAAAAAAATAAAGAAAAACTTTTGACTAGTGCTGTATATTTAACAGAAACCAAATTCAAATTCACCAAATCCAAGGCTTCTTTTGGTGAACTGGAATTCACTGCATTTTTCACGTTTCATATGTAAATAAATAAATAAATAATAGTCAGTGTGTTTACTTTCAGTTGCACTTTGTCATTTTGCCACTAGAGGGCAGTTAATTTGCACAACATTTTGTAAGTCTGGGGAATTAAGCTGTCATTTTTTGAAAATCTAAGTACTAATTGTGCAATCTAACATCAAGACTGTAAGATTTAAGGTTTTAGTCCTGAGCTGTAGAGTTCCATTACAGAACAGCTCCTTACCAGAGACGAATGGGGAGCTAGTTGTGTTTCTCAGTTCCTTATGAATTTGTAATGGGTTTGTATCATTCAGAGCATTTCAGAACTCTAATATTAACTATCCACTTCTACTCAACCACATTTGACAAGAAAACAATTGAAATTTTTTTTCTTCACAATATTTGTGATGCTGGATGTACTAAGAAGGTCCACTGCACTTCTGAAGGGAACTTTAGGTCTTCAAACTGAAACTGTTTGCTACTTTTACTATACATCAGTCATTATTTCGCTGAGGAAACAACATGATTTCAGAAGCATTGAGACTAATTAACCCACCTCCACTCCTTACCTGTCCACAGCAGAACGGCAGGAGCCTGAAGTAGCATAAGCACAAAAGACTTAAGAGACATTTTGGCTGGAACACCACAGTTTCATTTGCCTGGTTTAGTGTCGCTCTGGGGAACAGAACAGCCTCCGGATATCAAGTGGCTTATGCAATGTAGTTTCACTTTCTCTTCTTGTCTGGTGACAGTGTGTAAAATGGCAGCTACACTGACGTCTCTCCTTTTGTTGTATGTTCTTAATGCACGGCCTTCTCTTGGAGCAGGTAAAGTATCTAACAAGCTTTATTTTCATATTACATTCGATGACAATGCATGCAGCCACTTTCCCTGTTTTATTTATGCTTGTGGTTTGAAGTTGGATGCTTTGTTTCAGTTAGGCAGACATAGCTCAGTGCTAAAATAAGTTGCTTAAGCACAGGCATTGAGATGTGTGAGCAGGAGTAAAGCAGTCTGGGAGCTGAACAGAATGAAAGTAAACCCAAAAAGGAATTAACTGACCAAAAATGGAGTAAACATGTTTAAATAGATATTAAAAAAGTACAAATTAGGACAGAAAAGTGGCAACTAGGGTGGTCAAGTTGAAATTCATTGCATTATTAATTGCAGTGTAATCATGATTTGTTGTGTTTGTCTTATTTGCTCAAATTTGAGCCCTAAAGGATAAAAGAGGGATGGTGAGATCGGCCACAGGCTGGGACAGGTGGTAGCAGTACTGCAGTCACTGTCGTTTATTGTAGTGGTGAAGAAGGAGTTGAGCCAGAAGGCAAAGCTCTCAGTTTACCGGTCAGTCTACATCCCCACCCTCACCTGTGGTCACGAGCTTTGGGTAATGACCAAAAAAAGGAGATTGCCGATAGAAGGAGCGGAAAATGGGCTTTTTTCACAGGGTGGCGGGCTTCACTCTACTTGACAGGGTGAGGAGCGCAGTCATCCTAGAGGAGCTCAGAGTAGAGCCGCTACTCCTCCACATTGAGACGAGCCAGTTGAGGTGGTTCGGACATCAGATCCGGATGCCCCCTGGCCGCCTCCTGGTGGAGGTTTACCAGGCACAGCCTACTGGGATGAGACCCTGAGGTCGTCCTAGGATCCACTGGAGGGATTATAGTTCCAGTTTGGCCTGGGAGCGGCTCAGAATGAGCTGGAGGAGGTTGTGGGGGACAGGGTCATCTGAGATTTCCTGCTCTCCCAACTGCTACCTCAACCCTAGCCGGACCAAGCAGTTTAAGATGATGACGATGATGAAATTAGGACTGGGAAGTGGCAACTATGGTTGTCAAATTGAGATGAATAGCATTATTAATTGTAGTGTAATCACGATTAATTACTACTGGCTTTGCGCTAGTTGTGCCAAAGTTAAAGTGTTAACACCTTTTTTTTTTACACTGTTAATTTATTGTGTTAACATGTTGACACGTTAACCTTGACACCACTAATTGAAAGCCATCAAAACTGTACTTTAAGCTGGTTCTAACCCAGGCCTAGCACTAAAACTACTACAGTAAAGCACTAAGAAAAGAAAGGAACCCAGCAGCCTGTCCTACGATAACCAGTAGGCTAGTAAACTATCACTAAAAGCATGAATATAGACTGCTTTGTTTAGTCCTGGAGTTGGACTCCAGTGGGCCCAATGCCACACTCCCCATTTTGTATTGCAGATGAAAATGCATACCAGCAGTTTATTGGATGCGCGTTCAACAGTCGAGGACAAGTAGGTCACTTCTGGCGTTACGGCTACAACAGCAAGGATATCATGTACATCGATTTGGTGAGGGAAGCCATGGTCTCTACCAGTGAAACAGGCCATTTCCTCACCGAGGAGAGGAAGAGTGTGGAGTACATCAAGTCGAAGGAGAAGCGTTTGAGGAAGCTGTGCACTGCAGTGCAGACGGTTTTCTCCCTTTCTAATAACTCCCTCTCCAGGGCAGGTAGAGTAAACCAACAATACAGACTTACCATTTAATTCACCTAAGCTTTAGTCTACGTTGTAAATGAATAGGACTGAACCTGCTCTCTATATGTTCATCTTCACAGTCAGTACAAAAACAAATATTTATGTTTACAGGCTTTTTCTCATAATTACCCGTATTTACAGACACATTTGGGAAATATTCTTGACAGTTGGGTAAATCTACCATTCTAATGCACTGAAACGAATGTTAATATGTAATTCAAGTTTAAAACTGTTATAGTCATATGCAAATGTTTTAACAACCTGGATCAAGATACATGTTTTGTGGATATATATATATTTCATGTCATCATATTCATACAAAATACAAAAAAAAAATACGAGATTTAAAACATACTATAACTTTAGCACAGGCCACGCTTTATATGTTTCTCCCCAATATGTTAAGTGTAGCAAATAAACAGTATTTGTGTATTAAAATGTGCCGAAGTGTGTTTTCTGTAGAGGATGTTTACTTATTTACAAAAAAAAATCAACAAAACATATAATTGTCATTTCTGCTGCTGTTTTACTGCGGCTGTCTGAATGCCCAGTTTAGACAACCCATGCTGATGTACATTTGCTGTGCAAGCTTAGTTTAAATCGGGTAGTGACAGCTGCACCTTGCCCAAGATTGTGTGGTTAGGGTTAGCCTTCAGCAGACACGCCCCCAGCCTTTAGAGCATACTGCTTATTATGATACGATGTTAAAACCAACTTTTATATAATTTGCATTTCTTTCAATCATTCAAATTTGGCTGGGTGTTTTTTTTTTCTGAAGAAATAACAAATAAAATATAAATATAAAAAATATAAACATAAAAAATTATTATAACATAGGACTAGACAATTTCAATGCATTTTTATGATTTAAACTGAAAAAAAAAAAAAATTCCACATTAAATGAATACTTCATCTGTAAAGTCACTCCTGTGATGTGATTTTCACACACATGATTAAAAATCTTCTAAAAATCTTCCAGAATGATCATATTTTTGATTTGTTGTTATTTTGAGCCCATTTTTATTGTTGGACATTATTTGCCAAAATTGTTAGAATGACCCAAATACTCAAATAACATGTTGTTCATGCTGAGGTAAATTTTATCTCATGTTTCCTTTCAGTCAAACCCGCAGTGCATGTGAAGCTGAGAGAGGAGAAGGGCCGGGAGTTCCTCCTGTGTCTGGTGCACGGTTTCTATCCCAACGTCATCCGTGTGCGATGGACCCGCGACGGAAAGAACATCTACTATGGCACATCGACCACTGGCGTGCTCCCTCACAAAGACGGCACCTTCCAGATGACGAACTACCTCAGCCTCAGTAACACCAGCGTCCACGGAGTGACCTGTGAAATCGAACACATTAGCATAGATGGGAAAATGAGGGCCACTTTGGGTGAGTGTGTCTCTTGGCAGGCCTGCACAAAGCCATGTCCTGAAAAAGAAACTTAGGTAACACTTTATTTGGATGGTGCAATGTAGACGTTTTGTAGATGCTCAGTTTATCGATTAACTAACATTCATCTTAATATCTATTAAATATGACAGAGTTTTAGGACCACTGTTAATAAAAATAAAAATAGTAGACTTTGAGAATAAAGTCGTATTATTTCAAGAAAAAAGTCATAGAATTGCGACATTAAAGTGATCATCAAAGGGAAAGGTTGTAATATTGTGGCTAAAGGCTTTGCAAAGTGAAGGCGGCACCTCCTCGTGTTAAATGAGGGGCGGTGAGTTGGTGGAGTTCTACTTTCATATCGATTCACCCACAAAGAAACATTCAGTCCCCCTGTCTCTCCAGCATATCAGCACCAGCCTGTTACTAGTATAAGAAATGGCTGAGCAGGAAACTGTGTTTATCTAGAATAAAGAGCCAGTCGGACTCGGAGGAAACTGCCTGTCTGTGTTGTTGAAGGAGAATCTCAGGCAGGGTCGTCTACACGGCTCTCGGGGGCTACATCTATCCCCATTCAAAGAGGGCAAGAAGTTTCACAGACAGTGAGAATGATGATCAGAATGATCCACAAAGAGACAGGAGTGAGTGGAGCTCCGGCGCCAGTACAGCAACCGAGACCCCAACACATTATGGCAGCCCCCCTACAGCTAGCCCCCTTTATCCTTAAAATATTACGACTTTTTTCTTAAAATTTTATGACTTTTTTCTTGAAATATTATGACTTTATTCTATTTTTATTTTTATTAACAGTGGTCCTAAAACACCATTGTAATTAAATGCAGCTGAACTTGCATGTGAAAGCTTCTGTTAAACCTGTCTCTAACCCTAAACCTAAACCTAACCCTAACCTTAAAGCAAAACCTACACTTACTTCTAAACCTAATCCTAATCGTAATGTTGTTGATAATCAACTGAGTATTTTTCAGATCTGCATATGTGACACGTTAAGTGACTATTTTCATGGAACTTTTATTATTGATATATGATCCAGTTTGATTGACTGTCCTGTTGATCTGGCTATCACTTAAAACGCTGCAGTAAAATCACTTTTGATATGTGTTTTTATGATTAATGATGCATGCATAGTGGTATACACTCTGATCTGATATATTTTGTGGCTGTTGAATTGAATTAGTTATAATTGTATACAACTCTACCATGTGTGCAGTAGTTGCTCTTTTTTCCCAGTTTTAAAGGTTGTTACTGTTTATATATATATATATATATATATATATATATATATATATATATATATATATACACGTTATACATTATGTCATTAATAACCTATTAATAATTATTATTAAGGATGGAGCTTCATCGATACTGATATTAATTTATGCCAGGATCAGCTCTGTTATCGATCTGGACATCTCTATTTTTTCTTTTTGATTATTGGTAAACATTGAGAAAAAAAATCTTATTTTCCATTGTTATGTTTTCTAAGCGCGTCACTTGTTCTCTTGGGCCCCCTTTAGTGTCTGGGCTCCTGAAAGCTTAAGGGTGAAATCTGTAAGAGTGAAATTTTACACAAATTTATCAATAAAATGTGAAGCATTTGCTGTTGTGTCTCTTCTCTGTTGCAGAGGAAACACCTTCTCTTCTGCTGTCTGTGGTTTTAGCTGCAGCTGCGTTTTTTGCTGGAATAGCATTTCCAGTTGGCACAGTGACACTGATCATCCGTCTCAGGAGGAAACAAAAACCAAAAGACACCACAAATGACTCTAGTGAGGCGTCAACTCCACCGTCTGTGAGCTTAATGCACTTACAGGCAGAGTCCTAGGTGCTGTATTTTGTGATTTTTAATTTGAAGTTAAAGGGAACTTAGAGGCAAATGTAGTTGATAAACACTAGAAGTCAATAGTCACCCAAATCTCCTCTCGCTCAAACCACATGCAGGTCTTCATTAAAGGGGAATTCCGCACATTAAAAGAAAACTGTATAGTTCAGTTGTTCAAGAAAAAAGGAAAGCAATGCAGAGTGGTTTGGTGTGAAATGGTTAATTGTAGAGTCACAGATCTCTTTACAGTGGTGGTGATAGGAACCAGGGGTCGCCATGACTACAACACAGATATAGCCATTTTATTTACAATCCCAAACCACCAGTGAACCTGAGTTTTTATATTTAATGTTGATGATGGTCAAATAGTTCTAAATTTGAAAATACATATTTTCTTTGGGGACTATTTTACCTTAGAACACCCTGCATGCCCCCCTCCACCATGAATGACTTTTAATGAATAGGACGAAAACTATCAGTGTCTCAGACATCAGGCAGCATTTTTGGAATTACTTCATGTAATAACTTTCTGTGAGGGAGCTTTTAGAGGTGGATGTCTGGTTCCTATCACCACCACTGTGAACACTTCTGACTCTGTAAGCTTCTCTAGAACAGGAAACCATTCTGAATGACTTTGTTTACATATTAACTACATAATAATGCAGACATTTTTAAGAATTGGTGGAATTCAGCTTTAAGAGTGGCCCAGACTTGCTGATGGGGTTTAGGACACAGTGTGTCTTACTCTGAGCTATGAAAATGAACAAAGCCATGTAGCTGAACACGGAGCAGCTTAGAGGGTTTGTGCTGAATTCTGACTGCTCTTTGCATTCAGCACCATGCAGACATATGGACACAGTTTACCTGCTGTTTCTCTTTATGAATAACTATTAATCTTGACTTTGTAAACTGAAAATATATATTCATATATGGAATCAACAGAAATAGCATATAGCACATCATATAGAATACCACAAAATCCCATATAGAGTCAATATTTCTGTATTCTCAGGGGAGCACCTGTTGGCTAAAGTAGCTGCCCACTGTGTTCAGCTACACAGTGAAGTTTTTGTATTCATTCATGCATCATTCGGTTTTGTGAACGTATTGACAGATTTAGGTGACTATTGATTTGAAGTGTTTGTTAGCAATGTTAGCCACACTGTGTTTCTTTTCCCTTTAAACAACTGGAAGTGGGTCCACAACTGCCAGAAGATCCAGATGTGCCCTAATGTAGCGATTTCTAACTTGTAATTAAAACATGTTTCTAATTGAACTCCAAAACTTGAACTTTGTTATTATTGTATTTTACCCTTTTAATAAGCTCATTTTAATATCCTCTTTGTTTTTAATTTGCTTTTTTATATTTCATTTTATTTTCATGTACTTAGTATTTCCTTTTAGTGATCTGTTGTTTATATAAGCTATACAATTTTTATTTATTTTTTTTATTGTTCACTTTTAAACACCTTGTTTTCATTTTTTTCTTGTGGTGTTTTTTTCTTTATTTATGTAAAGCACATTGTTTTGTGTATGAAATGTACTATTTAAATAAAGGTGTGTTGCCTTTCAGGGAGTTTTTTGACACTCTGTTCTTTTTTATTTGATCCAAAATGATTAATTTTATTTTTGATAAATTTACTAATTTTACTCATTTTTAACTAAGTTCAGGCTCTGGGCTCCTGAGCTGCCATCTACACTGCATAAATATGTTGGCAGATGACATCATGTAAATTCTACTCTATATATCCAATATTTTTTTATTTTGAGATTGTTGTAAAAATCCTAAAAGATTCATTTATTTCTAGACATTTTATACTTAAGTAATTATATGAGTGAAATGATCTCACTTTGGGTTACAGAGGTGAACAGTAATAAATAACAATTAGTAACTTGTTTTGAGTAACTAATCCAGCACCGGAGCTCTCTGCACTAACATTAACACCAGCAGTAAGTTCAGTCTGCTCTCTTCTTACTGAAAAACAAAGTTAGTTCTAAGTTTTTACTTGTAAAAATGTATTTCTTGATATCAAAAATTAAATATTTACTAGTAAGAATTCAATTCTTCATATCAAAAATTACATTTTCACATGCTAGCAAAAATGTAATTCTTAATATCAACAATTTAACAATTGAGTCATACTGTGTTCTAAACCACATCAACAAGCCTGCGCTACCTTAAGAAATGCCTGGATGTGGCCTGAGTGAGTTGAGAGAAGTTTTGTGAAGGTATTTAGATTTTGGTGATTATTATATTAGCCTCATTGCTCCAGTGTCAGTTTTATTCTTTTTCCTTTAAACAACTGGAAGTGGGTCCAACCAGAACAAACTGCCAGAATATCTCAGATATTTTAATTATTTAATAAATTCAAATAAAATTAATGTCTACCTGTGATAATTCAGTTTTTACTAGAATTCCTGATACCCTCCTCTGTGCTTTACAGAACCAGCCTGATGTTGTGTGTTATGGCATGTGAGCTACTTGTTTAGAGGTCACTGAGGTCACAACATAAAAAGAAACTAGGAGACACGTTTCAAGCAAAGCTTTTTTATTTCAAAACAACATTATCATTTCTTTAGCTCAGCTCAGGACAGATGAGACCAAAATAATAAAGAAATAATAATAATAATGAAGTCTAACTAGGAGAGGTCAACAAAGCTGAATAACCTAACAAAAGAAAGAGAAAAAAGTACAAGCGCTCTTCCCTGACTGCCTAGCTGACCCAAAAACAGGAGAAAAAAGGGGAATTTTAAGAGAAATGGCACCAAAACCAAGATATTAGTCACTGTAAACAGGTAAGAAAGGTGTACAGAGTTACTGCGCTTAGTTCTAGTGTACAATAAAAGCACAAGAATGATAACTGGAGCGGCTTTCTCTAAAACAAAGATCTCTAACGATGGACCTATTCAACAGCAGATTACAGCAGCAGTTTAACCTCTCAAACCTCAGATTTATTACTGAGTTATTAATATTCAGACTTTTTACTGCGAGCTAAGAAACACGTACAGAATTTTTCCGTTTTTCTCTCAATCACTGCTTTCTCTCCAGTGAAGTTCCAGTTATCACTGAAGTTACAACACAGATCAGAGCTGATTTTAATAAGATGTTCATCTAAATATTTGTTAATGTGTTTATACTGAAGGTAAAAGCTAATCGATTACATCTAAACACACAACAAATACATGTTATTTTATTATTTTTAAAGTGTTTAAAAACTTTTATTGATTAAAAGTGGACTGAACACTTAAGCATGTAAGGATGAGCTTTCACTTCACTAGATATTTGGAGGGTCTTAGGACAAATACTCCCTCCTGGGTGGGAACATCCTGCTCCAGGATATTTTTCCTGGATTTGGAACATCAGTACAGAACACTCTGGAACATTGTCTGGTTAACAGTCTCTTACTTTCTTAGAAATGATTTAACAACCAACTTTTTAGTATTTTAATGTATTTGAATGGAGACTCGCTCTGCCCAATACATATGAGTCATAATCACATAATGCTAATTATATGACACACAGCACAACAACAAATCAGCAACTATTATGAATTACTGTGTCTACTATTAAACTAATCTGCAAGTTAAGCAGTTTGGAGAGTGAGGAACTGAAGTGTGGCTCCACATTCAGTCTCTCAGGGTTTAAGAGGTTAACAGCCAACTGTAGTATAAAAAAAAACTATTTCAGTTTTAGAAGAAATTATTCATGAATTTGAAATGAATTAAATTAAAAAGGAAATGTATTGGAGGTAACACTCTCTATGAATGTCAACTTTATAAGCATCTATAAACACATTCATAACTTGTTATAATGCATTCATAAGGCATTATAAACATGGCTATAAAATTTTATAAATATGCATTACACGTTATAGCCATGCTTATTATGCATTATGAATTGTTTACATAATACATCATAAGTACTGATCACAACAAATTATAAGAGCTCATAAGTGGTATTTGTCCACTCTAAGTAAAGTGAAACGTACTGTACTAAAGCCTCCTCCAGTGTTCAGAGTGAGGCTACAAGTTGAAGTATTTACTGAAGAATTTACTGAAACACTAAAACATTCACAGTAAAGCACATTACAGGCTTCAAATGTCAGAGTTTAAACTAGAGCTGCCATCAGTGTTTTACCCAATGTGGGAAAGGTAATGTTCACCACCGTTAGCTTGGTATTTGTCTTTACTTTACGCTCTCCAAGCTGGGACTGACTTCTTTGGCACTGACAGTATAACATGTTATTAACACTACTTATAATGCATTATATTAACAATTCATAATGTTTAATAAACATGGCTATAAAATGTAATCCAGTGTAGTTCATTTTTATAAATGTTTATAATCATGTCTATAATGCCATATGAAGGCATTATAACATGTTACAAATGTGTTTATAGATGCTTACAAACATGACATTCATAGAAAGTGTTACCGTATTGGAAAAATGTATATTAATAAAAACACTTATTATTAAACTTTCCGATGGTCGATTCCATTCTTATCAATCCAGACGCTTGCACCGTACTTCTGGAGCTTGATGTTTTCGCTGCGTGTCACAATAAAGGATCGGTCACTGGGAACATGGAAGTTCATGCAGATGCACTTGAGGAAGACCTTTGGGTCATCCTTATCTTCCACAAGTACGCTGGCAAACAGCTCCCCTTCCCCTGCGAAGTTGGTGAACTCCCAAGAAGGAAGACGTACGATAGCGCACTCGCGAGTCAGGTCTAAAAACCATCGTGGTGCTGACATTTCCCTTTGCTGAGAAGCTTGATTCTGAATAACCAAACCCTGCATCTGCGTTGATCACAAGCTCTTCAAGCGTCATCTTTGTTGTCTGATAGTAAATTCTCAGGTACTTATCTGTTGCATTGGCCACATGTGTGTTTGATCTTGATTGTTCGCTCCCCATTTCCTGCTGTATCCAACAAGGACCTGGAATGAAATGAGTAAAATTAATTCCAGTGATCTTTAATCAATATTCGTTTTAAGCAAAGCAAAGGGCATTTTGAATATTGCTTGATGGCAAACGTGCATCCCTTTTGCTCCCATTGCTCCCTTTTTCCACAAGTTCTTACCAGCTGATCAGAGCAATTGTGAGTTTACAGTAGAACAAATTTATTCTTGATCATAATTTGACATAATATTGTCCACTGAGTGGTACAACAGGGTTGTGTTCCATCAGAGAGACCTGAGTCTAAATCCAGTGACATGGTCATCTGTGGCCAAGAGCTCAGTTGGTGGCAGTTGGTAATGACCACCACTATAGACAAACCGAGCAAAACTTGGACATGAAACATGTTTTAATAACAATACTTTGTAATTTAAAAAATTAGCTTTAAATAAAATTAATTTTGTACTTTCTGTGAGCTGAAACAGTAGAAGTTACAGCCCAAGTGATGTACTTTGTAGTTATAATAGTTAAAACTTCAGATATAGTTTTATCCTGGATGTAAATGACCTTAAAGCTCCTGCTTACATCACAGAGTGTCTATCTGTTTAGGTTCCAGCCTGTGATCTAATTATTATTATTATTGTTGTTATTATTATTATTATTATATTATTATTATTAAGCTGGATAGGAACTGAAAATGACATCTGGTTTGCACTTGAGAATTCTTACTTTGGTAGCTTGGATGGTGCTTGTTTTTATTTGGATCAAAACTGCAGAGAAAGTCGTAAATAACCTTTACAGTAATGACAGCTGCCAACTCCCTGTGACAGTAGAACATATATGAATAGACTGAAAGATCCAAGACCTTCAGTTCATCAGTCTGATTTTAGTTTTTGTCCTTAGCTCTGCTGGGTTTAAATTCCACATGAAATTTATTTAGAGTATGTATTTGAAAATTGTGTTATCTATTTGATTAACCAGGTAAAACATTTTAAGTACATTTTAAAAAATGATCAGAGTAACTTACCTTTGTGTCTGCAGATTAAAGTCAGGGTGTTAAAGAGGCAGGCAGTCTGAGGCTCACACTGGCTGTGCCTTTAAGGCTACACCAGAGAGGAAAGTGCTGACGGTTAAAGTGCTTATCGGCCGGACCTGGTGAGGTGGGGCATATATCAAACAGACATGTATCACTTCTCACAGACGTTGTAAAATGATACGCTTGTTGTGCTCTGTGCACAGTTTTGTCATTCATTGGATTCATCATTTTACTTTTGAGATCAAAACACACAGTTAAACTCACAAATTCCTCCTACAAACTTTGCTACAATGAAACGAGAAAGGAATTAATCAAATTCTGTTCCAGTCAGCATTAAAGGCATAAGTGCTGTCATGATTAAGTGTTTAGTCTCTTTACACAGTAAGTTCAATAAAGCAGTCTAGTTACTTTTCATTAAGATATCATGAAGATTTTCATGAAGATTTCATCCAAAATATCTAATAAATAAATTACCTTGGCAGAAATATTGATCTTCAAAAGCAATGTTAGTGATTTGGTGATGTGTAGAACCATTTTTTAAAAGGTTCTTTAAAGAACCATGCACAACAGGCTTTCTGTCGTGGAAAAGAACCCTTTAACAATGTAAAGAGCCACTTTAACATTCAACTGGTTCTTTAACTTGTCAGGGTTCTATATTCACACGGCCATGGGTGCACAGGAGGCGTCAAGAGACTTAAATGTTGTAAATGTTTGCTGCTGTTAGCCTAACAGGTGTTTAGGTATTGTTTGTGTGTTATTGTGTCGGGCTGTGGGGAAGATCTTGGTCTGTGTGTCTACTAAGCACTGGAGATGTGTGGTTAGAGGTGACCTGCCCCTGTTTCCAGTCGCTCAGCAGTTCTCCCTCACTGCCTGTTCAAAAAAAGAGCATTCGCCTTTACAGCACAGTGTTTCACCCTGTTTTCTTTTTCACTGATGCCACAAAGTCTCCTAACAACCACCTGGAAGACCTGGTAGACACTAAAACTGCCCCCATCAGATAAACAGCACTTAAAACTTTCATCTGTGTAGCTTCTCGTCCATAGAAACCCATTTCATGAAGCTCCCAACACACAGTTCTTGTGCTGATATTGCCTCGAGAAGCAGTCTGGAGCTTTTATACTTGATTTATTTATACTGGTGCAAAAGGCACAGGTGCAAAAAAAGGGGCATGGAAGGTACATTCCACCTCTACATTTGAAATTATATGAGACATTTTTGAGGATTGTGGGTGAAAAAAATGAAAGTACTCATGTAAGGGGCAAAAGAGCTGTCAGATAATCTTTATAGAGCTAACAATTATCCCCATACATTTAAAAACTCTAAGCCAAAACAGATTGAAGATTTTGTTTATCGTCAGTAATGACTATGATTTGTTGACTTTTGCAATGACAGTTGATGAATAATTCTCTGTAGAGGATGTGTGAAATTATTTTCACTTCGAAAATTAACAAAACATGTAATTTGACCAGGGTGTCCAAACTATAGGACTATGTATTAACTATGCTGTATTATTATTAGTGTTATTATTAGTAGTAGTAATCACAGTAGTATATAAACATGATCTTACAATTGTGTGAAAATTTCATGCTTGGGGTTTCTTGGACAGTGACAATATTTTTATAGGGTTTTAATGAAACATATCTGAACCCTATATGAATAATCTTCTTAGACACTGAGTATTAGAGGGTGGTGTCTAATACTTCTGAGGAAGTCAGTATCAGACACCACACCCTGCATCTGTGACCTATTCAAGAGAGCTCACAGACTCTGCCAAACATTTTCCCTGAGGAAATTTGTCAGCTGTTTTCTGCAAACAGCTCTCTTTCCCGTAAGTATCATAAATCTTCTTGATGTAAAGTTTGGGCACAATAGAGTTTTGCTTTAGAAATTGCTATATTTTTTTGTAATACTGCAGACTATAATGATGCTTTGTGTCACTTCGACTCTGCTTTTTTAGCAGACTGAACAAACAGCAATGAGTAAATAGAACAATGTTAGTAACTCATATAAAAAATACAGTCGTATGTAAAAGTTAAGCTACATCCTCTACGGAGGACAAACTTAAAATGTGTGTTTTATTTTTTCCCCCAATATGTTAAATTCAGCAAATAAGTAATCAGTATCAAAATGTTTCCAGCAGAGGATGAGTAAACTTATGTTCACTTAGAAAATCAAAAACATTTTGACCAGTGGTGCACAAACTCTGCATACTTTTGCATGTATACCTTTCTAATAAGTCTGTAAAATTACTGAACATTATTATTATATATATGAATATGGTATTTTACTGTAAATGATTGAGTCAAGAATTGTTATAAAGATTATATGAATGAAAGCAAATAATAAGCATAATGCATAGAATTCTTAATCCATCTTTATGCATCAAGCAAAGAGCAACCCCACTGAGAGGGTTATGAAATTAGCACTAATGATTGTCCAGATCTTCCAGTAAGGGGCATTGAACCAAACAAATAAAAAAAATGACCACATGAAATGAAACCAGTTGAAATGTATGTTGGTTGCACAGCTACTATTGTTGATTTTCAGTTATAATTTTTATTTTTGAGGATGTGAAACTAATACACTAATCAACATTCTCATGAGTATGTTGTCATTTTTTAATCCCTATATTTGTTTTCCTGTTTGAATGATGGAAAATAATAATACATATGTTGTATAAATATATTATCCCAGACTACAAAGCTACACCATGTCTTACTTGGCACCTATCCTCGAAATTGGTGGAAAAGGAGGTACCGCATTTGATTTCAATGGGATTGACTGTGGAGCAACGCTGGAAAAGATAGGTGCGTGGGCAGGAGGCTGGCAGATAAGGTCCATCAAGGTTTGGTTCACCAATGGCCAGTCCATGCAGTATGGAGATACTGGTGATGGGCCTTACTCTGAATACACATTTAAACCAGGAGAACATATCACCTCTCTTTCACTGTGGGGGAACGGAGCTGGAACCCGTCTAGGTGCCATCAGGTTTACGACAACTCGTGACAGTACCTTTTTTGCAAAGATGACTTCATGGAGCCTGAAGAAAGAGTACCCAGTTGACATCGGCTCTGGCGTCTGCATTGGCATTGTTGGAAGATCAGGCGCAGACATCGACAGCTTAGGGTTCAGGTTCATCAACACCATCAAGTCCACTGTCCTTACCAACATCAATTATCCCACCCTTCACAATGTCATTCCTCAGGTGGCTACTGAGGAACTCAAATCTACGTCTTATGAAAATGACACTAGTGTTACTCAGCAGTATACACTAGAAACTTCAAAGAAAGTCATCAAAATGTCCTCCTGGTCTGTGACCAACAAGATAGAATCAACCTTCAACGTGTCGGTGAAAGCAGGAATTCCAGAGGTGGCAAGAATTGACAGTGGATTTAGCTTCACAGAGGGATTCCAATCTACATACTCTTTGGAGTATTCTGAGGAAAAGGAGGAGAAGCTGTCTTTTCCTGTCCAAGTTCCTCCTGGAAAAACAGTGGATGTGAAGATCACCATCGGCCGGGCTGCTGTAGATCTTCCATATACGGGTACAGTGAAGATCACCTGTTATGATGACTCTGTGCTGAAGTTCAACATCAGTGGAATCTACAATGGCCTCACTTACACCAATGCACATGTACACGTAAGAGAACATAATGAAGCCTAGTCAGGTTTCCCCAGCAACTTAAAGAGAGAGATTTAAATGAGGGGAAAAATCAGAATAATTAAGCTCTTTCTTTTCTTTCTGATACATTCTACTGTATAGTATAATATATTTTCTTTGCTAGATTTGCTAGATTGATCAATGAAGGCTGTTGCTTGGTGACTAATTAGAATAATGTAGCTTATAACAGCCTGTAACCATTCAGCAAAATCCAGACACTTGCGGATAAAACTGATAAGATTGGTTTTATTAACTCTAGGCAAAAACGTAGTCAAAATACAGGCGTGGGTCAAAACCGAGAAATGCAAAAGGATCACGAAAGTGATCATAACACAAGGCGAACAAAACAAAAGGGCAAGACAAAAGACAAGGTCAAAAAGGCAGGCAAAAATATTCAAAACACAAATCCAAAATCCAGGCAACAGTACAAAAAGGAACAGGCAAAAGGCAGAGTCAAAAACTAAGCAATGGTCAGAAATAACACTCAGTATGTTCACAGGGAAGCAATACCTCGCACTGATACTAGCTAAAGCCCGGGCTTATATACTACTCTAACCAGATCACATGACATAGGCACACAGGTGAAACCAGTCAATACTCAGGAGATTGAGATCTCTGATAGGTGTGTGAGAACTTGTCATATGATCCCTGCTTGACTTGTGGGTAATGGAGTCCACTTCGGACTCCGATTCCGAAGGGAAGTTCGAAGTTACGTGATCTCCCAAAGGAGCTTGGGAAATGAAGTCCGTTTCAGTCTGGGAGTTTGTACAAGGTGTGACACAGCCTTAATATCAGCAGGTAAAAAATAAGACAAAAAAGCTTTTTGTTGTTTTTTTAAACATTTATTTGTAGTGGAACTTTTTTGTTTGATTGATTGATTTATTAGCGTTCATTACTCATTCATGAATTTCACTTTCTGCATCACTTGTTGAAAGTATTAAATACTGTGTATGTGTCTTTGCATTAGATTGTAATTTTACAGCAAGATTTTCCTCAAAAAAAATGATATTTTCACTTTAATTCACTCGATCATTTATGTGGAAAATAACACATACACACACTTCAGCTCTGTTCTGTGTGAGATGAACAAAACATGTTAAAATAATAAATAATAAAATCAATCCTACTAATATAAAAAGGTGTGAATCGTCTCTTTTCCTCTGTAGATCTGAACACAGTTTCCTCCACATGCTTAGCTAACCATGCTGAGGACTGCAGACCTGACATAGCGTAGCAGTTCATCTGTCTCTTGATTGGTTCTCTGTTGATGTCAGTGTTGCTCCACCTCATCCTGCACAATTTCAAAACTGGAAAACAAATAAATCCAGTATGTTTACACAGTGGCCAAATAAACAAACGTGTACACATTTTTCAACCCATCATTCGATGAATGTGAAACCATCAGTCTAATAATTGCTAAATGTTAAACGGTGCTGCTGTCTAGGAGAAAGGAGCTGGTTACCATTAGCTTAGCATGCTAACAGCTCTGCTCACCACAGAACATATTCAATTCTGGCTGACTAAAGCTGAGCTGATCCATGTTTACATGATAATGATCCAAGTCTGAGTCAGGTTGAAGATGTTGGAAGGACACAAAGCTGAAATCAAACCCGTTATGTCATTTTTGGGTCTGCAGCCTGCTAGCTAGGCTAATGCTAGCTGGCTCCTCTCCTCATGAGCTTAGCTGGTGGGCTACAGATCAGTGCAGTTTCTGACTAGTGGTCTGCTGTCCCATATGGAAAAAATACATATTCCAAATATATTCCAGATTACTGTCCTGCATACAAGCTCTACCTAGTTTTTAATCTCCTCAAAAAGATTATTTTAAATGCACAGAGACTTTTATTATTGGACAAATATTACAAAAACCGAAAAGAAAAAAATAATGGCTAAACCTGATATAAAATGATTTTATAGAAAATGTTGGTGACACTGTGCTAGAATAAAATTATTTACTAAACTAATGTACAAAGCATAACTAAAAAAAGGAAGAATAGAAAAATATGTAAATTTGACTGAGTGGAAAATGAGCGATGATAAGTGAAACTTTGTCTAATATTCTGCTTAAACACTGGTGGGCCGCCCAGACAACGCTGAGCAAGACGCCAGTGGACTGCCAGCTTTTCCATCAGTGGGCCAACAGTGGCCCACTGTCTTTCTGCTATCAGGGAATGTATTTCAAATAAACAAGATATCAAATCATAACTGCATTTTCACAGAGTATCAATACCTACAATGCCTCCTTTTGCCATATTAAAGTTTCATTTGCTAATATTTAAAATTAAGATACTGGAATACAAGTTCATTTCAAAAGATATGCAAACAGTAAAGTGCCTTAGACAGTATTCTGGCTATTTTCATACATTTTCAAACGTATTTGAGAAACACATTTACATACATTTATTTTTGTATTGTACATTTCTAGGTATAATATTTCCCCATATGTTTTTAAATAAATGTATCATGAAATATTAGATGAATTATATGTCAATATGTTCTGAAATATCTTTTAGTGTTTGGACTATAATCTGGTATGAACTGCAATGAATTTAAAATGTATTTCAAATATACAAAAATGCATGTTCATCTATTTTTTTTTCATATGGGGTTACAACAGCAGATGTTGAAAACAGAGAGTCACTGGTGTTGGAGTGACAGGAAACCGAAATCGGTCTGGTTCTGCTTAGCGCTGAAACTGCCAACTACCACAGGCTCAGTTCCATGAACTGATGCTCAAATAACACACAGTTAGAGGATACAGAACCTGAGAGCACATTCAGGCTGATCTCACTACAGGATACTTGTGAGTCTAATGATAAGAAAGTTGGTCTGACTGTAAAATAAAATGTATATGAACAGAAAATACTGTGCTGGATGACAGACTGACACATCTGTAAGTCATTCTTATGGACAAAGCATGTAGTGGAGAGCGAATGTGCTGGGCTTATGATTAACTTGGATCATGAGAAGCAGAAAATGCAATTAAATTGTAAGACTGAACTTTGGAGGCTTATAAATCATTTGTAGAAAATGATCATGCATGCACATTTAGGATGATCCTAAATGAGACACCTCTTGTACAATGCTATTCAATTCTATGGTAACACTGTATGTGTATGTTAGTGCCATCTACTGGCAGAGAATGGAATTAGGTATAAAAAGGAAAATATCATGATTGAGTGTTTAATCTCTTCACACATTAAGTTCAGTAAAGCAGTCTAGTTATGTTTCATTAAGATTTCATGAAGATTTCATCCAAAATATCCAATAAATAAATAAATAAATAAATAAATAAATAAATAACCTTGGCAGAAATATTGATCTTCAACAGCAACGTTGGTGATTTGATGCTATGTAAAAGGTTCTTTAAAGAACCATGCACAACAGGTTTTCCGTCATGGAAAAGAACACTTTAACAATTTAAAGAGCCAATTAAACATTCAAATCGTTCTTTAACTTGTCAGGGTTCTATATTCACAAGGCCATGGGTGCACAGGAGGCACCACGCTCCTGTGCAAAAGTCTCCTAACAGCCACCTGGAAGACCTGGTAGACACCAAAACTTCCCCCCTTAGATAAACAGCACTTAAAGCTTACATCTTTGAGAGAGAGGAGAAAATCAAGCTGCTTCAGATCTGAAAACATCCACAGGTGTTTCTGTCCATCCTTCCACTGTGAGAAGACGACTCAGCGCTGTGGGTCTGAAAGGATGTGTAGCTGATCAAGAAGAACCTCAGTGAGAAAAGGAAATAAACATCATTTGAACCTCTGGAAGAAGAATAAATGGTGGGACATGCAGTCAGCTAGCTACTTAAGACAACTGTTTACAGAAATGTTAGCTATGTTAGCTTTGAGAATCTCGTGTGTTTGTTGTCACAGCTCAAGTAACTGACAAAATGAAAAACTACTGATCTTGTAAAAAGTCGATCAGGTGGATCTCATTTTCAACCGCCCTAAAATGTTATTTTGCATTGTTCAAAATGCATATAAACATAAACATTTACCTCACATACACTGTTAGAAATAAAGGTTCTGTGCAGGTACATTTTTCGTTCATCAAGGTACAAACAATGTAAATGTTCCCTCAAAGGTACAACAGTCATTTTAAGGTCTGATTGTGAACCTTAAATATGTTTTTCCAGGTGAAAAATTTGTATTTGTACCTTTTCATAACCGAATGTTTTAAAACAGAACAGTAAAATAAAAGCCTGGAGGCGAGACGGGGTGTGTGGAGTCAGTACAGCTTAGAAAATATAATCTCAGTGGGTTATGGTTCAGTTATATTCCCTGACTAAAGGTACTGAGATATATCCTTGAGGGGACCACCCCAGTGACAATAGGGGTACTGCCCCAGTAACAGTTTACTAACTTTTTTTCTGAGAGTGTATCAGGTCTTGTTTTCTTTCTTTTTTCTCTTCAATATTATTGTTCAGTGGTCTCCAAAGTGTGACGAGTCAAACAGAATCAGACGCTCGCAGATAAAAACTACAAAGGAGGCTTTACTAGAAAAAGCGCAGTACACTTTCGTGGTCAAGAAACAGGCAGGGATCAATTCCAGAAAGCCGACAAAACACAAAACAGACATACACCAGGCAAACAGTCCGAACAGGAGCAGGCAAAAATGTGGTCAAAAACACAAGCAGAGGGTCTAAGTCCAAAATCCAGAATCAGGTAAACAATCCAAAGGGCAGGGCAAAAGACAAAGTCAAAAAACAAGGCAAAGGTCATACACGATAATCAGAGTCAGAAATAAACGCTCAGTAGATCACAAAAGACGGATACAATACTTCGCAACTGACCTAGTCTAAAGCCCGGGCTTAAATACTACACTAAGTAGTCATATGATCAAACACAGGTGACATTGATTAGTATTCCGGAGATTGTGAACGCGGATATGAGTTTGGGGTCAGGTGGGGAGTCATGTGTCCTTCCTGAGTGTTCTGGGAGTTTGAGTCCGGCTGTCTATCTTCATTGGTTGGCTGTGGGGAAGTCAGGTGATCTCCCAGAGGACTCTGGGAGATCGAGTCCGAATCCAACAAGGCACTCGGCGGATGCGTGACAGTACCCCCCCCCAAAGAGTCCTGGGTGGCCCTGGAACGAGGCCGACCAGGACGACCACTACGCCCACCGCCGGACTCCTGAACAGGGGTAGAACCAGAGCTGCCAAGGCGCTGACCCGAAGGACTCCGCCTACGTGGACCCCTCAGACAAGCAGGGAGCGAGCTGGAGAGACTCTTCCTTGGGCGGCCCCTAGGACGAGGAGCAGGCTTGTCTGGGTGACGACTGTGAAACTCTGCTATGAGAGCCGGGTCCAGGACATCCTTTGCAGGTACCCAGCACTGCTCCTCTGGGCCGTATCCCTCCCAGTCTACTAAGTACTGAAGTTGCCCCCCTCGTCCCCGGGCGTCCAGCAGCCTACGGACAGCGTAGACTGGCTCCCCATCAATCACCTCCGGTGGGGGCGGCATGACATCCGGCAAAGCCTCGTCCAAGGGCCCTGCAACAACAGGTTTGAGCAAAGACACATGAAATGAACGTGAAACTTTAAAGCGAGGGGGTAAGTCTAGCCTATAAGTGACCTCATTGATTCTTTTAACCACCTTAAAAGGGCCAATATACTTAGGCAGAAGCTTCTTACTTCCCTCCATGTTTCTGAAGTCCCTAGTAGCCAACCAAACTCTGTCCCCAGGCTGGTAGATCGGAGTCTCGTTCCGGTGACGATCGGCTTGCTCCTTGTTCCGTCGTAGGACCTGTTCTATCCTCTGATGTGTCTGTTCCCACACTTGCTCACTCCTTTGCATCCAGGAGTCTACTGCAGGAACATCAGAGGAAGCCCCCGTCCAAGGGGCTATGGGAGGCTGGTATCCTAGAATGCACTGGAACGGAGTCAACCCAGTTGCAGAACTCGTGAGGGAGTTTTGAGCCATTTCCGCCCAAGCCAGATATCGGGACCAGTCTGATGGATTTTCGTAACAAAACACACGCAGGAATTTGCCCAGTTCCTGATTCATCCTCTCACACTGTCCATTAGACTGCGGATGATATCCTGATGTAAGACTAACTGAAACTCCTATACTCTCAAAGAAAGCCGACCAAACCTGAGAGGTAAATTGTGGTCCCCGATCAGACACAA